ACCACGCACCACTCACTACACGTGTCTTCACGCAGCCTCGAGATCTTCCCAAGCCAAGCCTCGTTTCCACCACCGGCCTCATCTTCAAATTCCATCGGGATCATCACCTTCGAGCAGGTCACGTAAGCTTAACAAAAATAAATTCATATTATCAATTGCTGTTGCGTTTATTTTAACCCGACCAGTTTTATCTTGCCGCACCTAAAGTTTCTATCTGATTTTAGTGAATTTTACAAGTTGCCTTGGCCTTCAAATCCATTGACTCATTGGAGTCAAATGTAGTAAATGTGGGCAAAGTCCCCTCAGCGTCGGTTGAGTACTCCGACATTACGGTCGACACTGTAGCTTATACCTCTGTATCGTAACTCATGTATAACCACCCCGTATATAAGATATGTTAGCTAGACAGATGTGTCTTACTTATCCCTCTCTACCTTAGTCACGTAACCCGATCTTCAGGTAGAGCTTAATCTAAAATGATCTGGGACATTAAGACATTAATCCTACATGTATAAATATAGGAGCCGAAGCACAAGTTTCATTGGCAGTCGATCGAAGTGGAAACAGATCGTTCAATAGCGAAAAAGACCGAATATTAATTTTTACTTGTTTATGTTCAATGATACTGTATCAAGTTAACGACTGTTGCTTAAACTCGATGCTTCCGCCCCGCAAAATATCAAACTGCGATTAAACGTAAGAAAGTATTGCTCATGAATATGCGAAAGGTTGATCAAACTAAGACTTCCTCGTGAGCCGCGGTGTTCTCAGTAGCTGGATGTAATCTGTGTAAGCCAAATGCTACACGTTTTCTGCATCCTTCAAGTATTTCTTTAGGCTTGTGTACTCGATGAAGCCCACGAGGTTTTTCAGTTGCCAAACTCCGTAGGTTAGAGGTTTACCAGACGGCACGAGTGCCGCCACGTAGTCCTTAATCTTGGTCATGGAGGCGGGCGGTGTCAGCGTCACGTTGACGTTCCCGTCAAATCTCGGCTCGAAGAAAAATGGGACCGAAAACCTGGAAGAAAATGATTATTCTGAAATGAATAGAATGATTATTTTGAAATGAATAGAATGGTTATTCTGAAATGAACAGAATGATTATTCCGGAATGAACAGAATAATTATTCTAGAATGAGCAGAATGATTATTCATGATCATTTGTTGGAGGTCACTTGAACATAGTATTTACTATTTATTTCCTGATAAATTTAAGAACACTTAAAAAAAAAAAGAGCTAGGTTTAAGGTGTATGCACGCAAAGGAATATGTCTGAAAGGAACCATTATTTTTAAAATTTACTTTGATTTATCTGGAAGTGAATGTACATGCGCATTCATTCATTAACGTAGTTTAAGGTTCGGGCTCCAAAGTTTTTGTTGACAGGGAAAGTGAGGCGGCAAGTACAACTATCAAGTGCCCTAGCTGACCACGTGTATAGGCCTCTTGGTCCCCGTGTATAAGGGCCTTATGTAGAAGGCGGCTGAAGGCCACTTGGTCCAACACGAAACGACTAGCACGGTTAACAGTGGTGGTTAGTACTATAAAGTCGTACTTGCCGCAACTTCTTTCCCCCGTGTACGAGCACCTCAATATATTTATGGATCAGCATATACCTTTCTATGTGAAGTCAAGCACGCTAGGAGCTTAGTAGCTTATGAAGATTAGTGCTTAAAGCCATAGTGCCGAAAATCCAGCCAATTTTCCAGTCTGTTTTGTCTCCATTGACGTACAACCCCAGTATAGTCCTACTTCTACACTTACTCCGCGACTTTCCATTTAATTAAATATGTGACTGACCTGAGCTGTAGCTGTGGAGTTGCGGCGCAAGGGCTTTTAGCAGTTCTAAACTTGCGTGGCTTGCAGTGTTTCCAGCCTGGTAGCATTTAAATACACAAACCTAGAATATTAATGTCCAAAGAATAAGTTTGCAGAACATAGGTTTAATTATATTAGTTAAGTTAGGCGCTGAACCATACCTCTCCGCACCACAGTCGACCACACGATGGTGCGTGGCCTTGATAAGCCCGCCGGATATGTTAGAGAGCAGCAGCCCGATGTTGACTATAAGCGAACCCTTGCGGTACTCTACGTCTTGCCAGGTCCCCTCCGCGGTCTGCAGCTGCAGCCCTGGGTACCCGAACGTCTCCAGCATCGTCACAATAGGCAAGTCCTGGTGTTCATCGCACAGCAGCACTAGGAGATATAAGGATATATGTGTTTGATTCCACGTTTTCAGTGTAATGAAGAATCAACAACATCATATATATTACAGAGCATGCATATTAACATCAGACGTCTCAAAACTTAATCTCGCTGTGTTTGACATTTTTTCGATCATGAAACCGCACTAACTGGTATCAAATTTACCTTAGATGATCGCAAGAGATTCTGGGTTTTTGGAGTGGCTATAACCCGGTAAAAATGCATTCGAATCAAGCTGAAGTAAACAAACTTGTCACAACCAAAATACCAGCTCTGAGGCTGAGTAAAGTTAATGCATGATGAAGCTGGGCGTTGGCTCCAGGGCTTATTTAAGAGTACAATTAGAGGCCTACGGCTGCACCCCTATTTTCATGATGAAACTGAGCTTAGACCTTGACTCGTTATATGCTGAAAAAAATCTGAGTCTTTATGTGCTCACCAACGTCGTCTTTGAGGGCACACTCAGGCAGATCTGACCCTCGTAAAGGGTAGTGAAGGAGCCTGAAGGTGGAGAGATGGGTTGACCCGAATAGTTTTGTGAGTGTATCCTTCTCTGCTCCCCAAGCTCCTGCCAAAAGCTGCAGTAGTGTCATGCCGGCGTCGGTGAACACTTTAGTATTTTTCCATCTTCTCCTGAAAATTTTATATTGGAAAGTTGGCAGTACAAATATTCCGTCAGAATATAATTATTAAATTTCCGTCAATCATGGCTGAGAATTTTAATTATAGATACTTCACTTCAATAACATTTTGCTACAAACCCGAGTGAACAGTTTTAATGGCATAACAGAGTTCTGTTTAGCCTCACATTTATTGGATCACTCAATCGTTTACCGCCAACTAAAACTAACCCGGAAAATGCTGGCAAAAGGTTTACTGTCGGGAGGATCTCTGGGCCACTGGTTGTCTTCGAAGAAGAACTTGGCCCACTCATACGGGGCCGACCCTGGCCCCTCCATGAACGAGCCCATCTCAAACCCTGCCAGGATTGAGGGAGGAATTGTAAAAATTTATTTCTCCATGTTCTTCCAGGAAATTTAACGTAAGCGAATAGCTCAAATATACCCGGGTAAAATCTCAAAGGCGATGCCTCAGTTGAAAAATTATATAAGGAAATTAAATTATTAAAGGAGCCTCCATCGCAGGATTGAACCGATAGTTCTTGCGAGCAAATAAGCCTGAGAAGCAGCATGCAATAGTTAATTCGGTTCCTAATTCACAACAAAATAACTACTGTTAGCATTTAGTAAATAACTACTGTTTGGTAAATAACTATATACTGTCAGTATTTACATGAATCATCTAGATTATCGTAGACTTTATTACATGGAATGTTAATTTTAATCTGATTGATGTGTTACATTGAACCTGGAATCTCCGTTTTGTTGTCCTCGCCATCGCAATTTTTTGTTTCCGGTTTGAACATAGCATTCTAAATTACTAACACGGAACTTATATACTATGAATGAAATTCATGCTTTGTACTTTATTTCGGTTCTCGCATTTCATAGAGATCGGTTATTCCGCTTCTTTTTTATTCAACATATGAACAGACGAACAGATGTTACAAAACTTATTACCGAGTCCCGCAGTTTATAGTCTGAAACAACATCAGAAGCAGAAAGGAAAATCACAAATCAAACTTCTGATTTACTACACAAATTAAAAGTCAACATCTTTGTTCTAAATAATAATCCTCGTAAAAAATCGGGACTCCTGCAAGAAACTAATGTTGTTAAGGAATTTTCTGGTAATAAAGAAGGTTGGACGCTTCTTCGAAACATAAACTAAATTGGTTTGATTAAAAATACCTTTAGCTGCTGCCTCACTTGACAAGTACAATCGGAGGGCCAAAGAACCAATCAAAGGATGCTCATAGCAAGACCATCACTCGCGTTACATTTGAAGCTTGCACCAGCATTGTCATGCGGTGCCCTGATGCAACAGAACTGGCTGAAGCCCTCATAATCAACAGTGAATCTCTAGCAATTAACTTCCAAACCACCGGATTCGTCAGGACGTTGAAATCAATTGCCGTGTAACCCCAAGTTATAATTTTTAAATCATATCCACAATATGCTATGTTAATTTGTACTTATGTCATTCCGAAATTTCAAAGTTAAGAGTTGCAAGATCTTCAATTACTTCGGTAAAATTGTGGTTTCTAAGCGCTGTGTATTAAAATGTCTTGGTAACCTACAATTTGATCTCCCAACGCTAGCAAGAAACATCGTTCGACTTACAAAAAATACAAATAAGATTATTATTCATAAAATGCAGTCTCAGGTTTGCAATAAAGTATAATAAAGTAATAAAGTAAAGGTCTCCGGTTTGCAAGACAAATTTGCTAATTTTTTCCTTACATGAAAAGTTGTATGATACACAGCTGTGCATCGTCTTACCTTCCTCATGCGACTGTTTACCAAACTGGACTGGAAAGTACTCGCCTTGTAGGGACCTCCAATGTTACTTAGTTATAATTCGTTAAATCTTCAATTTTCTAAAAAATCAATCCTTTCGCGAACGTCCGAACTACTTCTAAAATGACTTTTTCTTTCTTCGTTAGTTCAGTTAACTGTAACCTCAATACAACATTGTCCTCTAACGTTTGGGGTACAAATTACTGATACCTACAATTAAATACACTTTCCTAGCACTCTTAATTCTCTCTCGATTAATTCTCGTCTAAATCCCTCTTAGCGTTTAACTTGGCTTATAGCGGTGCTGAACCACCCTACCGCTATAACCTTTCATTATGCGAGCTGTTATCCCAGGCTGGACAGGAAAGTACTTGCCTTCCTTATGCGACTGTTTACCAAGCTGGACAGGAAAGAATCCCCTGTACGTGTAGGAACTGCTGGGCACGAACATTTTCTTGCTGATCCTCATCCGTTCTTCCAGCGGAAGCCTGTTGACGGAGGTACGATGTTATTTGAAGGAAGCTAAATTTTCGGCATTAAATGCATTTGGAAAATACTCACTTCTCTATAATGCCATTCCTCTAAATATAACTTCAAGAAAATTAGTAATCGCCCAGAGCGGTATATTCATGTTACTTTTCATCTGCCGAATTGCAAGTAAAAATGCCGAAGAAAGTTCATTTAAAAATTAGGATAAACTTTTCATTGATATTGAGATAAAGAGGCAGATATTAGAGATGGTGGAGCTGAAGTTACGTGTTAATTCTAAGTTCCATAAAGCAATTACTCATTCAGATTTTTATTCAAAATGAAAGAAATTTTTCTGAGTCCAATCCTAAGTTTTTTTAACTGCAGTGAAATTCTATCCCAAGTAATACAATAAAAATCCTATATTCCCTCACTTGAAGAACCATTGGGTGCACTCGTGCAGTTCGTCAGGATCGTAAGCAGGCACCCCCTGCAGGTACAGGAACCCTGGTCCTGTGAGTGCGTCGTACACCTGCTGGTGCAGCGTCTCCCTGCCCTCTGGGCTCGACAGCAAGCCTAAGTCTATCACCGGTAGACTTCCTGGCGACATGGCTTGATGGTTTAGATCGCGGTCTGGAACTTACTTGCAGTTTTTGAATTAAGTAAGCTTTCGGGCAATTAATAATAGTTTCGTTAATTTTCAGACAATTATGGATTAGAAAATGTCCTGACGGTTAAACAAACCTGAAATATGAGTTTCGACTTCACAGTATAATTTCGTTGTTTTGAACAATTTCTATGCTGGAAAGATAGATTAAAATTGGAAAAAACCTATATGGCATATCAATTTCTTATGACTCCTCATAAAACTTTTTACCACATAAATTTTTTTATGACTCATCATAAATATTAATTCCCAGACAGGTACTAGCACGAATGAAGAAAACAAGGGCCTATGATGGATTATGTCGTGTAACGAACCTTCGGAACAACTAACACTCAGACAAATGAGTGAGACACTGTCCAAACAGCATTGCACTTTCCGCCTTTGTGTGGTCCATCCTGATCCGATTCCCTATCAGCAATAGAGCGTATTAGTACTGCGTGCAGGAAGTGTATCGTTATCTCTGGACAACATGACCAAGTATTGTATTTGAGTGAAGCAATTCTAGATTTGAGGTTCGGAAGGACCAATTCGCTGAACGTGTTGTCGTGACGATGTCTGGCTATTCTATTCTGATAGAATAGCCAATATTATTGTATATTGACAATAGTCAATCTACAATATGTATATTGACTTTAATTTCAGACTGCGCTATGCCCAGGTGAAGGTTTTTTTCGCCTGTCAGTTTTTTTAATAAATAAATTTCGCCATTTAGGTATGGAGAATTTAGAGGTATGGAGGTATTTTTGGAGGTATGGATACAATGTAGTATTCTGCACTCGCAAGGCAGCTGGCCGTTGATCGGATATCTATTGAGGCTGAAGAGGTAGCAGGTAGCAACATATACTCTAACTTGTTGGGATTTTTGTGGGATTTAAAAGCGTAATAAGCTACTAGTATCTGAGTCATCATAAATTAGAACAATGTTATGGACGATTTATGAAACTATTCATCGAAGATGAATAGTTTCGGTCCACCACGACTTTAAGATTATAGTGCAGCCTTCAGATGAAACCGAACCCCTTTCCCCGTAGCGCACATGGCACCGACAGGTTGTGGCATAGTACGCTATACATTTACTTGCAGCCGGTGCACGCAAACGAACTGAAATTGCATTATTCGACACGCAAATCCCTCCACCTGTTGCCTATACTCTCTAATTGAAGCATTTTAGTATTGAAATAGCTATGCTGTACTAATTTCTATTTTATTTTGACGTAATAGTATGTTATAAAGTATTTAGAAATTATATTGTGTCTATGGGATTATTAAGTACTGATAGGACATAAATTTTACCGATGTATAGGGTATTCTTGAGCGCCTGTTTGATATAGAATATAGAAGATAATTTATAAGAATAATCCAAGTACAAAGATTGTTTAGAGTATAAACTATACATATATGTGTTTTGGATGATGCACTGGATCTCAAGTACTATATAAAAAATAAGTTTCTTCTAATAATAATTGCCAATTGTAGGTGTTGACAAGCATTGATTGATTAACCCAATAAATGGACAGACTTTTGAATTATATTTGTGGTGGTGTTAAGACGTCACTATAGGAAAGTGAGGGAAACGCAAGATATGGCCCAGTGTGGCCATTAAACAGAAATATAAATGACATTACGTGACGAAAATAGAGCACTTAGCGCATAATAAGGTTTAATAGGGCTTCAGAATTGGGAAAAATTGAACTTCCAACTGCTCGTACATCGACTAAAGATAGGAATGGTTTTGACCTTGCAGGATGGTGGCAAACGGACAGTGAAGCTCGTCGTCGCAGCACGTTCAACGGGAGACTGACTGCAGGAGTGCCAAGCAATTTAATTAAGTGACCTTCACGCTTATCAGTCAGATGAACTGCTAAGATCAAGCTACATTGAGTACGTTTTATACTCTATTATATTCTGATTGAATGTTTTTTCTTTTGTTATTCCAGCCAGTCTTCGTTCTCTCATGCTTCTAGTACATGCTTGGCTTGATGCTGCAATACATTTTCTGGGAAATGGATGAATTACGTTTAGATGCATTAAATCGATGAATTAAATTTAAATGCACGAAATGGATGAATTAGGTTTAGTTTAAACTAGTTAAACAGCATTTTAGGAACTAGGTTTCTAAGATGCAGATATTCCGCTGTCGATTCACGGTACTCGTAATGTAGTTGCAGGGGCACGATTAAGTTGGAATGTTTGTTTCGAATATCAGACCAGGTTCAAGTATCAGGTTGGGTGGGGTCTTTGTGCGTTGAATCTTTTTAAAAATTCATTTACTTCCCGTGTATTTAAAAAACAAAACAATAATGTTTGTTTCTCGTTCATTTCGCCTACATTTCAGAATTTTTCGTACACTTTCATTTATATAAAAAGCTTCTCGTTTCAATAATTTTTGCTTATCTTTTCGAGCATGTAATAATATTCTATGTATCTTACTACTACTTACTACTATCTTTCTCATTCTATTTTCCTGGATTTTTCCCCACATCTATTCACACATAATTCAAGAATTTATCGGTCAATTTTCAGACATTCTACTTTTTACTTTTTCCATAATAATTTTCAGTCATTCCGTATTCTGTTCAGTGTGTAAGAAATTTGTATTCATTAAAAAAATTCGGGATAAATTTTTCCTTTAACTTGTCCATTTTCCTTAAGAGAGGGAAAATTTTTCCGATAAAGTTCTGAAAAATGTTATATACCAGTTATATTAACTTTTGTTCCGTGATGTATAGAAATTATTTAAGGATTTGAATTTTGTGCATTAGTTGTCCATGCTGTGCATTAGTTACCCGTGCTGTGCACTAGTTACCCGTGCTGTGCACTAGTTACCCGTGCTGTGCACTAGTTACCCGTGCTGTGCATTAGTTATCCGTGCTGTGCACTAGCTGTCTCTTATACACATCTAGATGTGTATAAGAGACAGATATACGGTACTCATAATGTAGTTGCAGGAGTTTGAATGTTTGAATGTTTGTTTCGAATATCAGACTGGGTTCNTGCTGCGCAATTAATTATTCGTGCTGCGCAATTAATTATTCGTGCTGCGCAATTAATTATTCGTGCTGCGCAATTAATTATTCATGCTGCGCATTGTCTACACGTGATGCGATTGTGATTATGTTGCTCGTGCGGTGCAATAATTATTCGTGCAGTGCATTATTATCTTGAAGCATATTCCAGTTGTTCATGTAACAGCATTTCATCACATAGATGTGTGATTTTTGATTTAGCAACTGTACTTATTTTTGTTTATTTAATTATATATTTAAAATTTTTCTTTATATAATTACACAGGTCAACAGAGAAAATGTTCGGACATCATTTTGTGTGGATTGGGAAGCATTTTGGCTCAAAATTATAAAACTCTCTTTTTGTTCTTTCTGTAACTCGTTTAGTTTTTGAAATATTCGCCTTTTTGTGAAATATATTTGATATTTATATATGTATATAGATATTTATAATTATTACCTCAATGCTTGCGGCCCGAAAGGCTCAATATACTTGCAGTTATGGTCTATCTAATCGCCCTCTCATGTGATAGATAACAAGGATAAGGACAGTTGTGCAATTGGCTAGAATGATAAGTGCAATTTTGTACGGGATAATAATTATTTTATACACAATATTAATATTTATATCTTGTACTTTGCGTTCGTTTCTTCGCAATATTTTGTCTTTCGCGTGCATTCCTCTCTCCTTAGTAAAAAAAATTAGCACAGGGACAGGGCCGGCTGCTGCAGGCCATATCTAAGATCTATGCTCGCTAATTTTGTATATATCAAAGATTTTTTGCTAATTTCAGCTGACGCCAATAAGGGCATCAGCTGAAATTACCCGGTAATACGATTCACAAATTATATTTATCTTCATGGCGATCTAATAAACAATGGTTGGTCACAAATTGGTTGGTCACAGTTACTATTAATCATCACAATAATTGGAGTGCGAATACTCGCAGCTAATACTACCCCCGTATATAAGCTTTAGATCAATGGCAGTTTTGGATAGATATGGTCTGTAAGAGACAAGTAAAAAAAAAGACGAGTAAAGAGATTTATAAAGATCGGAGGAAAGCCAACTCGGTCTATTGTTAAACGCCGATATTTCTACGTTAAGTTTTGATATATGGGGACTGCCTCCTTCTCGAGCCATTAGTGGGCGGCAGCCAGTAAATAAAAACACGGTTGAAGTCAGCGTTGCCAGATGGTATATTTCTATACCAGATTTCACAAATCTGGTATTTTCCGAAGGTGTCTGGTATGAAAATTTAAGATCTGGTATATTTGCCTAAATCTGGTATTTTTATAAGCACCTTCGGCTTCAATAGCAGTTTTGGATAGATATGGCCTATAAGAGACAACTAAAAAAAGAGGCAAGTAAGGAGCATTATAAGGATCGGAGAAAAGCCAACTCGGCCTATTGTTAAACGCCGATATTTCTACGTTAAGTTTTGATATACAGGGACTGCCTCCTTCTCGGGCCATAAGTGGGCGGCGGCCAGGAAATACAAACATGGTTGAACGTTGAAGGTGGTGCCGGTGATGCGGCCAGTAGCTGGACACATGACCCCGCAACTGCCTCCTGAACGGAAATCATTATTTCATCATAACACCTTAAGCAATATAACAATTATTCGCCTTGTGCCTGCATCCTCTCCTCAAGCATAAAACTATTAATCAACCTCAGCTGTAATGGGGGACAAAATTCAATTTTATGACCAAATTGAGCAGTTATCCAAACATTTAGACTGAAGTGAATATTACTTGATAATTTTAACCCGTACATTTAGTAAACTCTAGAAGTGAGCAAAGATAGTTCGTCTCATTTTTTTTCACTGATGTGCACTGTTTGATGTGACCACAGCTCATTCACACTGTCCAGGGTCATCAGGTGTGTTCGGTGTTGGTGTTCATGGATTGCTCCTTTCCGTCATTGTAAATGTAATGGAATTACGAATTTGATACCTAGCTAGATCGCGCATAAAAAAATTCCTAATGAAATTTATTGAGGTAGAAACTTTTAGCTGGCGGTGGCGGGTATTGAGGCTTAGACCTTAGAGCCATAACCGATTCCTGTTAAGTCTTAGGATTTCAAATGAATTGCAAATATCACTTTTGGAGCCAGGAGCAGAGGAGCTGAAAGATTTAGTTAGGTATATGTAACAATTTTCACATCAAGCATTCAAGCTGATCACAGACACCAAGACACATTAGTTGCTAATGTGTTGCAAATTAGCCACTATGGTTGCAACTTGCAATTACTTATCTCATAATCATATCTGTAATCAAAACCTGAAATAAATAATACGATATTTGTAAAAAAAAGTTTAGGTAGGGTAAACGCGGTATATTCCGACACATTAAGGACGCATCTAGAAATGAAAAACTATAAAAAAAAAAACGTATGCGTTACGTAAGTTCTGTTGCCTTCACATGACTCTCAAAACACTTCACTACGCGTCAGCAACGATGAAACGTCACAAAATGTTGCCATATTTATTAAAAAGCCTTTAGAATGGAAACCTACCAAATCCCTATATTCCGTCACTTTGTGTGGCAACATCCGACACGTGGTTATTTCGACACGCAAATGTATGACGTCGCCATTTCAACCATCAATGAACGCATGGAACTAAAACAAAGCTTAATATAAAGGAAAAGCTGGAGAGGTGACGGAATTACCTACAATGTCGGAATATACCGCGTTTACGGGTAAACGTGGTATATTCCGACATCGTGGATAATTCCGACACTTCTCAACTTTTTTCCTTTATATTGAGCTTTTTCTTAGTTCCACACATTTGTTATTAACTTGTTGGTTGAAATAGTGATGTCGGTCGTCGACCGACATCACCGACCAACATGGTAGGTTTGCATTGTAAGGGCTTTTAAATAAATATGGCAACATTTTGTGACGTTTCATTGTTGCTGGCGCGTAGTGCGGTGTTTGGAGAGTGACGTAAGGCAAACAGAACTTTCATTCATTCATTCAGCCATTCATTTTTTGCTACATCCTTAAAGTGTCAGAATATACCGCATTTACCCTAGTTGATTAAAATTCTTTATTGAACTCCAATTTGGAATATCTGGCAGAAGGTCTCTACAAATCACTGGTGAAAGCTATTATTTCATGGGTAATTTTCTAAAATCAGGCATAAAAAATTATATTTTTCTTATTTTTCATTGAATAAATTGGGGGAAGGGACATAGGAATGGGTGGCCATATTCACGGGCATTTTTTGGCCCATTATTGGTTGGATTCTGCCTAATACTCCAATTAGAATTAGGTCTAGAACCAGTTTTTATTTGTTTTTCAGTTTTACACCATAAGTGCAAAAAATAGAGGAAAATATCTTAGGTACGTAGTTATTAGAGCTTTGCAAAATATATTAAGGCATTTTATTAACATCTGTCATTTTGGAAAAATTGGCAGTAGATATTTTTGTTGAAAGATGTTTTCATTGAAGAAAAAGAATGTCCAGAATGAAGAGAAAGAAGAGACCAGTGATTCACATTCGCACATTGGTGGACCAGAAAGTAATTCACACCGTGGCAGTGGTGAGCATAATTATTGCAAAATATCACTTGTGTTTACATAGTTGTGATTGTTCAGTTCAAATTATTTTAGTGATGTTTTATGTTCACTCAATTTTTAGTTGATAACACCTAGTTGCTGAAACAAGCTAATAGTCTGACATAGTTAGCTGGGCTGAGCCTGCTGTGTTTAAATTATTAAGCTTCAGCAGACCTGTTAGTGAGCAGTTCTAAGAACTGTATTGAATCTGTTAGCTAGAGCTGTGCTGGGTCTCACTTCAACAGATGTGGCAGTGAGCAGCTCTGGGGACCAAGAAAGTGATGCAGCATCATTAGCCAGTTCAGCGTGTCCTCCTTCGGAGTCACCCCCACACCCAAACAAATATGGCTTCATTGGAGGCGCTCAATATACTATAGATGGGTAAATTCTCTAGACCAATGATGGAGAGATAAACTCTGAAGTAGGGCAATCTCAAGTTGAAATTAAAACTTCGACAATGAATGAACAGCTGTTAAAACTTGTTTAATTTAATTGATTGAATAACTAGTAAACTTATTGAATAATATTTTCCTAATTTATTCTTTTTTTTTTTCAGGGAAGAAAACATCCCTGTTAATGTGATACGAAAGCGTGAGAGCAAATGGCTTGAGATGCTCAATCATTGGGACAGCTTCATGATGAAGAAGTATGAGAAGGTGCGGGACCGCTGCAGGAAAGGCATTCCTTCCGCCATCAGAGCTAGGGCCTGGCAACATCTCTGTGGAGCTGACAGGTGGATAAAAATTCATGAAGACATCAATGTCTTTGGAAGAGTTTGTGTTTACAAGTAAAATTAAAAGCTCTCATACCTATTCTAATCTCAGTGAAATATTTAAGAAATATCAAAAATCACTTTAAAGAGAGCTGTAGCCTTGCACTGTATGGCATCATTAACAGCAGAGAAATTATTATCTTCATGATACATGCATAAAAATGAGCATAAATGAAGTATAAAAAAGTGCAAAATAAAGCGAGCTGAAGCTTTGAGTTTTGTCAGTGGTGATCCTGAGTGATTTATCATGTGTGCAGGAGAAACCATTGTTGCAAAGCTATAGTGAATTAATATTTTTAGGTATTGCAGCAATATGGACTTGTTTGTGTTAACTATGTCACAATTTTATTACTCTACCTATTTATCTTAATTCTTTAATTTCCATTACATTTTAGAATGGCAGAGCTGAAGACATTAAGTAGTAGTGCTTCTCCCCAGGGTACTCGAGAACAACGTGGGTGTCTTCCAGCAGCTCGCCAACGCTCCTCTGGACCCGCGCACTGAAGACGAGATAAGAAAAGATCTTCACCGACAGTTTCCTCTGCACGAGATGTTCCTGAGGCGTGGCGGCCAGGGGTGGGTAGTGTGGTGGTAGGAGTGGGTGCCAGGAGTGGGACTTGATTGGTATGTTTGATGGTTGGTTTGTGCAGGAAAGCTCTTACTTACACTAGGTAAGGTTCTACTAAACTCCCTAAAGCATCATATCTGTCTTCTATACTTCCAATTTGTGACATAAGTGTGTAAAAAGAACAGCAAGATTCATTTAAATGTAACTGAAATTAATTTCTTAAAAGATAAGTTAACCTCTTAAATATATTTACCTTTAGCTTTTTCCCCTGATTTCATTGTTTATTATTATTATACAGTGCTCTTTCTAAATATTTTATACAAAACATAGTAAACGCAAATGACATACCTTAATTTATTGTGAGAACTCCTAAGATGCTGGTCTGAGCTCTCAAGTTGCAGACAGGAGGACCTGTTCACGGTGCTGAAGGTTCACTCGCTGGTGTGCGGCGATGGCTACTGCCAGGCGCACGCCCCTGTGTTCTTATTTTTACATTTTACGTATGTATGTGAATTTTCATGATGATCGGATAATAACTGTAGAAGTTTTTCCGGAGGGTAGCCGGTCCCCTTAACATGTGTGCAGTAGAAACTGTTTATGCAAAGCTATAGGGAATTAATATTTTTAGGTATTGCAGCAATATGTACTTGTTTGTGTTTACTGTGGGCTGGTTCTTTTCAGCAAATTTTAGTAAATTTATCACTTTTGACTTTTGAGGAAAAGCTTTCCTGTACAATGTTTCAATTTTTAATTATTATGAAACAATGCATGCAAGGTTTGATGTAACTATGCAATTATAATTAATACTAACTTGATTTCCATTGAATTACACTATTTTATTACTCTAGGTACCTATTACCTTAATCCTTTAATTTCCATTACATTTTAACCTAATGGCAGAGCTTAAGACTCATTAAGTAGTGCTTCTGCCGTCTCCCCAGGGTACTCGAGAACAACGTGGGCGTCTTCCAGCAGCTCGCCAACGCTCCTCTGGACCCGCGCACTGAAGACGAGATAAGAAAAGATCTTCACCGACAGTTTCCTCTGCACGAGATGTTCCTGAGGCGTGGCGGCCAGGGGTGGGTAGTGTGATGGTAGGAGTGGGGGCCAGGGGTGGGTAGTGTGATGGTAGGAGTGGGGGCCATGGGTGGGTAGTGTGATGGTAGGAGTGGGGGCCANAAAAAAAAAAAAAAAAAAAAAAAAAAAAAAAAAAAAAAAAAAAAAAAAAAAAAAAAAAAAAAAAAAAAAAAAAAAAAAAAAAAAAAAAAAAAAAAAAAAAAAAAAAAAAAAAAAAAAAAAAAAAAAAAAAAAAAAAAAAAAAAAAAAAAAAAAAAAAAAAAAAAAAAAAAAAAAAAAAAAAAAAAAAAAAAAAAAAAAAAAAAAAAAAAAAAAAAAAAAAAAAAAAAAAAAAAAAAAAAAAAAAAAAAAAAAAAAAAAAAAAAAAAAAAAAAAAAAAAAAAAAAAAAAAAAAAAAAAAAAAAAAAAAAAAAAAAAAAAAAAAAAAAAAAAAAAAAAAAAAAAAAAAAAAAAAAAAAAAAAAAAAAAAAAAAAAAAAAAAAAAAAAAAAAAAAAAAAAAAAAAAAAAAAAAAAAAAAAAAAAAAAAAAAAAAAAAAAAAAAAAAAAAAAAAAAAAAAAAAAAAAAAAAAAAAAAAAAAAAAAAAAAAAAAAAAAAAAAAAAAAAAAAAAAAAAAAAAAAAAAAAAAAAAAAAAAAAAGGACTGACAAACCTCTGAGGGAGAAAGCCAGTTGAGTTTTTCCAGGAGCAGACTGAATTCACTGAAAATTATATTTATTAGGTGTGGATATGATAAGTATTAAGTTTGGCTCACAATGAATCACCGGTTACTTTAGAGAACGCAATTTAACACACGTGCTTTCGCCGTGAACGCAACTGACTTTCTCCCCTTGTCGACATAAAGTCCGAGATCTTTTCCACACTAGCTGACCTCAGCTGTAAAGGGGGACAAAATTTAATTTTTTGACCAAAATTGAGCAGTTCTTCAAACATTTAGACTGAAGTGAATGGTACTTTATGAGTTTAACCCGTACATTTCGTAAACTCTAGAAGTGAGCAAAGATAGTTCATCTCATTTTTTTCGTGGATGTGCACTGTTAGATGTGACCTCAGCTCATTCACACTGTTCAGGGTCATCAGGTGTGTTCTGTGTTGGTGTTCGGGGATTGCTCCATTCCGTCATTGTAGCTAGGCTAAATGTCATGTTTAAGCCAAGGAATAACGACTTTGATATCTAGCCTAGCTAGATCGCGCATAAAAAAGTTAATAATGAAATTTATTGATGTAGAAACTTTTAGCTGCCGGGTATTTGAGGCTTAGTCTAAGCCTCAAATACCTCTAAGCCGCTTAGAGGTTAGAGCCATAACCGATTCCTGCTAGTCAGCTAGTGTTAATTAAGTCTTAAGATTTCAAATGAATTGCAATTTTACAAATATCACTTTTGGAGCCAGGAGCTGAAAGATTTTAGTTCTATGTAACAATTTTCACATCAAGCTGTTCACAGACACCAAAACACATCTAGTTGCTAATGTGTTGCAATCATAGTGGCAACTGGCAATTTGGCAAACCAGGGCTTTTTTAGAATCAGTTCATTTTTAATTTCCTCATTTACTCAAGATTTAGGCCAATTTCTTAAGTATGATAATGCTGGTATCCATGATACTTAACTGGTTTACAAATAGGACTCAAAAGTGAACTTGAGGGAGAGTCTAAAAAACTTACTGCTTTGTCACTATGGTTGCAATTAGGTACATGTGTTGGCAGTGTTGCTTTAGTGATTACCTAGTAGGCTAGTAGCCTAGTAGTAGGTAGGAGTAGGACCATTCTGTCCAGTGTCCACTCACCACCAGTCACACTGTCACAGTCACCACTCACCAGCACTGGTTAAAGTAGGCTAATCACCCCTTGAATTACATCCTGTAGCATAGTGGCAAAGCAGAGAGTTTTTTAGACTCTCCCTCAAGTTCAGTTTTGAGTCCTATAAGTAGACCAGTAAAGTATCCTGGATACCAGCATCATCATGCATAAGAAATTGGTTTAAATCCTTCCGCGCACTGAAGACGAGATAAGAAAAGATCTTCACCGACAGTTTCCTCTGCACGAGATGTTCCTGAGGCGTGGCGGCCAGGGGTGGGTAGTGTGGTGGTAGGAGTGGGTGCCAGGAGTGGGACTTGATTGGTATGTTTGATGGTTGGTTTGTGCAGGAAAGCTCTTACTTACACTAGGTAAGGTTCTACTAAACTCCCTAAAGCATCATATCTGTCTTCTATACTTCCAATTTGTGACATAAGTGTGTAAAAAGAACAGCAAGATTCATTTAAATGTAACTGAAATTAATTTCTTAAAAGATAAGTTAACCTCTTAAATATATTTACCTTTAGCTTTTTCCCCTGATTTCATTGTTTATTATTATTATACAGTGCTCTTTCTAAATATTTTATACAAAACATAGTAAACGCAAATGACATACCTTAATTTATTGTGAGAACTCCTAAGATGCTGGTCTGAGCTCTCAAGTTGCAGACAGGAGGACCTGTTCACGGTGCTGAAGGTTCACTCGCTGGTGTGCGGCGATGGCTACTGCCAGGCGCACGCCCCTGTAGCCGCGGTGCTGCTCATGCAGATGCCGGCCGAGCACGCCTTCTGGTGCCTCCGCTCCATCTGTGATAAATACGTGCCTGGATATTATTCACACGGTCTCGTGAGTTCACAATGCATCAAATATCTATCAAAATATATCTAAAAAAGGGTATCCCTGCAGGCTGTGTGTGTATCGTATCCAAATATGTTATCCACTAGCGGGCCCGTGAGTATACACAGCCTGCAGATAATGTCAATCAAAATATTGTATCCAAAATCTAGATATGTTATTGACACGTTTCTGTTTGTAGTTAGTTCAGATATTCCTCCTTTATAAAATTTATTTATGGTATCTTCACATTGATGTATGCTTTCACGAGGAAAAAATTTGAGAAATCGTAGATAATTCCATGAGTTGACGTTATTTCTAGTATTTATTTCGCACTTATTGCAGGAAGCCATTCAGATGGATGGACTGATTCTCTACAAGCTGGTCAAGAAAGTATCCCCGTCAGTCTACAAAATTTTGGTTTGTAACTTCTTATTTTCTTTCCCTGGGCTTTTTAAAATATAACGTAGTAATTTATCCATGGCATTTCTGAACCCATTTACAAAGAAAAAAACTCCATGATACACCCATATCGATCCCATATTGCTGAAGCCGGATAATAATTAGCTGTTACTCAATTTCAGCACCACTATCTTCTCTCTTCCGAAATGAGCTCCTGTTTTCCCCAAGTGCAGATTGTTATTAATGAGCGCATTGCCTTATTTTCATTAGAGACTATCTAATTGCTTTACCAAAATCTGCTGTGAAGTAAAAGGCATGAATTAAATAATTCTATGTAAACAAAATTTATCAATAAAGATTTCTCGTTCATTGAGAATTGCATTGAAGTTATTGAATTGGATTATGGTACACTGATTTCAATTTTCAAATTGCATAACCTGTATCAATATGTCTTTGGAACGTTAATTTCACCAGTCGTGTATAAAAGAAATAAAATAGTCTCCCAGCGCGCAAGGCCTCACAGAAAGCTGGCTTTGGTGTTGCTTGGATATTTTAATTTTATCCTTTGGATATTGCAGAATTCAGATACAGTTTTATTTAAATAAAAGTTTTGCATCAAATTTTGAAACACCAGTTGCCTTTATGTGAACTTAAGCAACAATTATGTTTATGTGTGAAGAACTTGGAGGGCTCTGATAAAACGGTGCCCAGTCTTGAGACACGATAAATATTCATTCTCTTACATGATAAACGATTAATTAATTATCTTGTGAAGTGTTGAATTTTTAATTATCTTGTTACATAATATTACAGAAGAAGCAGAAAATCGACCCCGTGCTGTACATGACCGAGTGGTTCATGTGCCTCTACTCCCGCACCCTGCCGTGGGCCAGCGTGCTCAGGGTCTGGGACATGTTCTTCTGTGAGGGTCAGTCTAGTGGGGGCCAGTGTGCTCAGGGTATTTATTCAGGACATGTTTGTGGAGGAGTTCTTGTTAGCTCTCATAGCACTGTCGGTTGTTAAGGTCTCATAAAATTTCCTTTATATTCTGAAAATTCTAGCAGTAGTTCATTTGTGATGTCATGTCTACTTTTCACACTCATTTGTCTCAGGATAGTATTTGTCTACTCTGAGTATTGCTCTTAGAGAGCCAAAATTCAGCTATCAGGAGAGAATGAAAGCAATTATTTGTCCAAGTCAATAAATGCTGGAGTTTTTCTTTGTCAGTAAAATTCCCGATATTAGTTGCTGTAATGAGAGGCGCGACTACAGCTCCCTATTTATGGCCCCCTGACTGGCAGGGCCCCGGAGTTGAGGCCCTACTGCACCCTGACTAAAATGTATCAGTGGCCTCAACTGGCGCAGAAATTTAGAAGGCATCTCCTAGACGCTGAGCTCCAGAGACTTGGAATCTTTGGTAGTCTCAGCGTCAATAATTGTAATCAAATGCTGATACTTGTTTTTGCCTGTGAATGCTGTATGTGTATACTGATGTGCAGGAGTGAAGGTATTGTTCCGCGTGGGTTTGGTGCTACTCAAGTTCGGGCTGCGTCCTGAGGTGCGGGCGAAATGCCCCTCCATGTACGAGACGCTCCAGGCGCTCAGGAATATCGCGCCTGGCATCATGGCCGAGGACTTCCTCCTCATGCAGGTTGTGTCATCATCATAATTTACGTTCATAAACACACTTTTAGCTTTCCTCATAATTGCTGCCTATTGATTCACTCTGTACCTCCGACGGAGACGTGATCTCTCAAACACAGTTCAGTTTGCTATCAAATAACATATTCATACGCATAATTTCAATCATAATAATCAAAGGATTTCAAACTGATTTTTTTTGCGCCGTAGGGCAACTTATTGATTTGCCTCACTTTTTCTTTGAATTTTTCCAGACATTGACTGCATTATATTTACATGCAAAACAATTCAATTTAATGTTTATAATGCCTCGTATCACAGTTGCAGAGACTGGACATATCGGAAGAAGATCTGCAGAAGGAACATATCAGGCAAACCAACAAGAAGGAGCTCGAGAAGACACAGCGAGAAAAACAAGCTCAAAAGGCCAAAGACAGATAGCATTGATGTGTTCCAAACTCGTAAGCAGTTCAGCTGAGAATGGAAATGGCAGCTCTGAAAAGGCGCGCGTGTGTGTGTGTGTGTGTGTGAAGTTGTCACCTTATTTGCTCTGCAGCATTCAAGTCTGAGCTGAGAAGTGAGATGGCAGCTCTGAATTGGAGTGTGTGCAGTCGCCTTATTAGCTCTCCAGCAGTCAGGTCGTTATCACATTTATAAATTATATTGCGTTGTCTACGATGTAACAATAATTATAAGCTTCTCTTTATTCCGAGGCATGCTGTCAGAAAATTCTGAATGCCTATAATGCGGGATTTAAGGAAGTTGGTCTCCTTTCAAACTTCCAAATCTGTAACTAGAATTTCTCTATCAATTAACTCTCTACTACTTTGTTAGTGATGATAAAAGATATATTGATTGTACGTTTATGGTTAGTTTTTCCGCCATATATTTTATTTTCTCTTGTGTGAGTGGATATTTTACATATTTAGGATAGTTTCTAATTTTGTACTCGTTGCCTTGTATGAGTGGAGGAAGCAATTTATGCAGCTTAAATTGGAATTGGTTTTGACTTGGTGTTCTTTAAAATATACAACTAATAATTTATGGATGTATGAAATGATTAATATCTACCATAAGTAATTTGGATTTGAACAATCCAACTTTTCTCGAATTTAAATTCGTGAAGCAGGACTAAAATAAGTGTAGAAGTTGCTTAGCTTTACTAAGCTCACGGTTTCGGAAGAGATCTGATAACAATCTCAAAAACACGTTTTTTACTGTGTGATTGTCATATCATATTTAATTTAATACGCGTGTGTACTTTGAGTATTTAGTAATGCAAACGTTTGTATTATCTGTTTCTAACCAAAGTATAATAATTTATGTAAGCCTGTGTCGCCTACACACCGGTCGCAGCTAAATAATTTGCAGGATTATTACTGTATTCTAAGTCGTGATTTTTATTTATCCCTGGGCCGACTTCTCATCGATTGGAAATCGAACGCAAGTTGTGAAACTTGTCGCAGTTAATGTCATATTTTGTATACATTGTTACCATGGAATAAGCTTCTCTCGAAACGAAGCTAGATACGTAATATATTCATAGGTTAGGTTAGGTACGTGTCAGGGTTGGCAATGATTAAATCAAAATGATTAAATCATGTGATTAAATCACTTGATTTTTTTATAAAAAAATCATGATTTTTTTTATTTTTTCGCTTTTTTTTTATTTATTTTTTTATTTTTTTCATATATTTTAAAATATTGAGTGGCAGTCTTTAATTTATATTGAGGTATTGTTATTTATGGTTTAGTATAAATGTACTATGAATGACAAATTGGTATATAAACTTGTTGCCTTTAGTGTGTATTAGGTTCCAATAATCAAGGGATCCGGCCTTTGGAACCCGATCTTTCCATAACTGACGATTGATTGAGATAGCTGCTAGACTTATTGCCTGGTCCGTAATTTGCTGGGCATTTTAAGACTGAACATATGCTCCTGCATAGCTTCGTCTAGTCTGTTTTTGAAGATGTTCATACTCGGAGCTTCAACGATGCCATGAGGAAGGTATTTCGTGTTGCTTGAATATTTTAATTTTACCATTCGGATAATACACAATTTATAAACAGTTTTGTTTAAATAAGAGTTTTGCGTGAAAATTTAAACCCCAGTTGCCTTTGTTTGAAAATATTGACTTCTCTCAATGATTCGTATAGTCATGGCATTGAAATGAACAGCCAAATAATCGAAAGTACGCATTCCTAATGAACGCTTACTCGCACATAATTCATCGAAATCCCAGATTGCGGAATCTACAATTAATTTTTTACTAACGAAAAGTTTTCAGAAAACTTGGTTCAAGGTCGCGACTTCCAGAAAAAGTTGTGAGTCTTCGTTATTCAGCGACCCACGGCATATAGGGAACAGAAGAAAGCTGCTCTATACGTAGTTGTATGTCTAGCCCTTCAACTTTTTATTAGGGGTTTGTACTAAAAATACAATAAACAATCTGTATTTATTTAATTTAATGCTGTATTTCCGCAAGGAACGTTTGGCCTCAGCATGGCCTCAGCATAGTTTAGACCTATGAACAAGGCACGAAAAGGAAAAGAATCGGCGACAGGCCACATCAGGCCTACACTTCAGCGCCGACATCACTATGTTATGTTATGTTATTAGCTGTGATCTTTTGTCACTGGACTTTAGCATCATACGTCGTCATTATTTACTGCACTATAGCGAGGCGTTCCTACTTCGTTTAGCAAATTTTTTATTATGTTTAACGCGATATAACAGCTGCTATTCGAGCTCACAATTTTGAAAAATTACGAGTCTTTAAAATTCCTATTATCAAACATCGAAAAATGTTCCCCATACAACCCATATAAAACATCGACGTTCGACTTACTTGAAACGCTCAATAAATAACGTTAGCAGAGTGTTCATATAAATACAACAGTATACAGAACCTTCGCTTTACCTCCTTACACAGGAGCTCTCAATCTCATTTACACATGTGCCCACAGTACACACGTTTCTCACAACCGACATCAATTTGTGTTCATGTTATTGCGCTGCTATAAAGTTTTGATTTGTTAGTTTTCATATGGCTTCTGATATGGCGAAAAACTGAATTCTGCATCAAAAAAGTATAATGTTATGAGATCACCATGGTGCATTATATTCTCGCTCAATCCAACATATTATTTAATTCAAAATAAAAAAGTGGTATTATTTTATTAAGTTGCTGGAGATTCCTCTGGCAGCTTTGTCCCATAAAGACAGCTACCCTCACATCAGGGCTCGTGCTCTCTCTCATTCACTGGCGCACCGCCGCCAAGCGAGGATGGGAGTGTGTCGGTCTTTCGCATCATTTTTTCAGCGAAAACTTTCTCCCGAGTCGAAATGTTTTTCGTTAAGCTTCCATTTACTCTGAATATTCTGATTCATTTCGCTCTCAATTCATATTGAATGTTTAGCCCCAATTATTCATTAACCTTCAATAATCTTTTGGTGAAAACTAATGCGAACTCTGGTAGGTATATAGAAATTGGCAAAATGGGTGGACTTATATTCTATTATATTTTTCTGACTCTCATTTTACGGTCCTTGTCGTTATCTATTGTGCGGTGATCGTCGCTATCAATTCCATTGTCACTGTCGATTTTTACGACAATCTTCCAGCCGGAATACGGATTACGATTTAATTACGTAATCATGCAAGCTTTAGTCATTAGTCAACGTTGTTCATCGGAGGGTCTCAGTAATACAAAATACCGCAATGATCAGTGTTAGGTGAAGCGTAATTACTCATTTACTAAACTTATATTTAACATTGAATTGAGTAGGATTATTCTGAAGCATTACAAAGGCTACAATTAGGCTGTAACAAAAATTATTCCTTATTAAATCTGAAACTAATGAACCATAACAATTAATTTTGTATACCTGTTTTCCCATTTACGATAGTAATAAAATTACAGGCTTGTATAGGCACAATAATGATAAGCAGAAGCCTGGTAGTGGCAGTAGCTGCCCTCTGGTGTGTAGGGCAGCCAATAGGTGCCTTGCATCCTAAGTCACGCGTGGGTTCGAGCCTCATGCTGGAGGAAAACTCCGGTCTTCAGGGCAACGCCGGTCCTGAAGTGTTCAGGGTGCGACGCCAGCAGCAGGCAAGACCAGCCAGCCAAAACACTGGGTGAGCCATTAATATATTTTTTTAATTATTAAATTTATTTAATTAGGTATGGATGCAATGAGGTATTTTGCTTTCGCAAGAAAATTGGTAGCTAAAGGTTAACGTGAATTTCGACAGTGTTTTGTCTTGAGTGCCACGCCATTAGGCATTTGACTGTGAAACAACGTTAGTTAACCGTTGTTTAAACGAAATCAAATCGTAATTAACTTTGTTTTGTGTAAGTACGTTGCGTACGTTTTTCGTAAGTTTGCGAACGTTTCGCACTTGTTATTTTCGTACATTTTTCTCGCGCCTGGAAAATTTGAACTTCCAGCATAAATTTAACAATGAAAGTGAACATTGCCGCTAGTTTGATCCTTAGCTTTAGCTCGATTACTAGGACTCGTTTAAAATGCGTTGTCAACAGCCCTTCTAGTAAGCTCGCAAGATTATCCAGTTAATATTTGATATGTGAATTTTTAGCAGTTGTAAATTTCCAAATCATCGTGATCTAAGAAGGGCCTAATATTTAAGGTAATTTTTTACATTTTAGAACAAATTTTGAAAGCAAACAAGTGTTCAAACGATTCCGTTCAATATTAAAATTAATTGACAAATCTTGGAGGAGAATCAATCATCACGCGTTATCACACAGTGTAAATTAAAGAGAATTTACAGTTTAATTTTCAGCACTGCTTACGCATTTAAACATATTATTAAAACATATTATACCTTTTTAACCATAGAACTACGGGGACCGTTGATATAGTTTAAAATTTTCCAAAAAATGCCAGTCAAGAAATATTAAGTCAAACGCTTAATTTTTTTCACCAGTCAAGACCCCAACGTATGGGGTCTTCACAATCAAGCGTCGGAAACGCTCAGCTCCTTCAGAGGATGAGATGCTTTGCTTGAACAATAACTGCGCTCTTGGGACTTTTTACGACACTCGCTCCCTAGGCATGTTTGTCGGGTTCTAACAGATGACTGTTAGTCCCTAGTTTAAACAGATGGACCGTTAGTCCCTAATTCTAACAGATGAATTGNTGCTATTTATATACACTCAACGCGATGATGAGTACCGAGACTTTGCTATTTATATACACTCAACGCGATGATGAGTACCGAGACTTTGCTATTTATATACACTCAACGCGATGATGAGTACCGAGACTTTGCTATTTATATACACTCAACGCGATGATGAGTACCGAGACTTTGCTATTTATATACACTCAACGCGATGATGAGTACCGAGACTTTGCTATTTATATACACTCAACGCGACGATTATTACCGGGACTTCGTTATTCATGTACAGTCAACGCGACGATTAGTACCGGGACTTCGTTATTACACTCAAAGCGACGGTGAGTACCGGGACTTAGTTACACTAAGAGCGACTATGGAGCTTTGTTCTGTAAGAGGTCCCAATTTGCTGTCATCAACAACCGGCAAAAGTTTTAAGATAACGTGGTGTAATGTTCAGCCGGAAGCAAACTTCGTTCTCCATACAAATTATTTTTAGGGTTCATCTTCTTTCCGTTTTTCAACATTTGTGGCACCAAGTGAAAAAACGCTGCTTAACATGATGGCTTTTACTTCAAGCTTGAAAGAAACATTCTGTATTGAAACTCATTAGACCTTGTCAACTCCACAGTAATGATCCAAAATCCCACTGATAATTGAATAAACTCTAATTTCATTCTCTTCTGAGTACAGGTAACTACAGTATTCCTTTTTCAGTGTTGAGAGGTCAAAGTTAGAGCTGAAATCATTTCCATCTATCAAATTCTCACAGTCGTCGGGATTAAGCTCGTCCGCTATCATGTCGTTCATGATAAAAACTTGGTCGTAGTCTTTTGTTGTGAAGCTTTTGTCTGGATTGTTTTGAAGAAGTTTTTCGCCAGGCTGAGCATTTCCACCTGATTGAGTTTCGTGTTTATGAAGCAGCTGGCTTCTATCATTTTGAAAACGCTGGTACATTAAGGTGTTAAATTTATTTTTTAATCGTCGCACGTCGCTGTCATTCATGTCGTGGAAACATTTCAGCGTGGGGCCCAACACGTTGTTTACGTTGTCCTGGAAGAAAATTGTACAAATAAAAGCAAGCGATTCATGTTTAGACCTCCTTTCGATCCGGTAAGTTGTATGAAGAATCCCTAAAAATTTGAGTTCAACTTCAAATTTTAGCATGCGATTTTCGAGCATGACTTCCCGTAAACCAAGCATTACTTTCCGTTAATCAACGTCAGTTTAAAAGATCTTGTCAAAAGGCCGGATTTTAGATTTACATATGAACAAGTCACGAAAAGTACAAGAATCGGCTATAGGCCTAAATAGAGGCATATTTCTTCAACGCCGAAAATGCTATGCTATGCTATGTGTTGTGTGCATCCATCGTCTTTCCATTCTTAATGATACAATGTTAGAGAGTGTTTTCGGAAGTGTCTTTCATTGCAAGCCTTTGTTGGGGTCCACGTTAAAGTACTATAAGTACGGCTGGACGAACCTGGGTGACCCCAGCAGCGTAACTTCGTACACACACACAAGTTCCCTGCTGTTAGTATGACAGGATCTAAATGAACTAAACTTTCGAGTTTTGGCTAATTTGGAATTAACTTCATCTGGTATCAGGCAGAGAAAATATATCTAATCTGAGAGGGTGAACTTGATTGGCATCAGACGACTGAGTTTTTTAACCGTTTTAAAGACAGGAATATGAAGCAACTCCTTAATATTAGTCACCTGCTGCTACCCCAGCAATTTGGTTTACTGCTCACCTGTAGTTCGCGGCACGACTTCTCACTCTCAAGATCGTACGCCGCCCCCCATACAACGGTGCCCTGAGCTCCGTAGATTTTCATGAGCCATAGCAGCCGCTGTAGGGACAGCCGCTCTAGGAACAGGTTGACGTCTGTGAACCTGCAAAATCCATAAAATATTTTAACTTTTGACGGCGGTAAAGCGATCGCGTAGCATGTATTCGATGCTTCAGTTTCAAAATGCGAAGATTTGCGAAGCGGATCTCCCGGAATAGAAATTGACAGAGTTACAAAAGACTGCTGTATCTTTTTATTGGGAGCTCTGTCCAGTAAGTGGACAGAGATCCTTCAAATGGAACCAGTATCCATGCACTTACTGGATCTCTGTGTTTTACATGTGTAAAACACAGAGTGTATTCCGGCGTAACACAAAATATTCCCGCATGTTTTGCGCGTGCATTTTTTTCCGGGCTGAGTCCCTTAATTGCATATGAAAATATGCAAAATAAGTACTTAACGAACCAACCGTGCATCTATTAAGCCTATTGCAGTTTTTTTACCGGTATCGAATATATGGCAGGACAGGAACGTCTGCGTTCTTCATTCTTAGAGCTTCGCGCAGTTTCGCCATTTGAGCGTTCCACCTCCTGTAGATAGGATACTCCAGGTGCAGGTAGAGTGAAGGATAAAAAGCTGAGGATCTGTCCAGCAGCCAGGGTCGTATCTCGTCGTTCATATTTTGGACCTGGATGAGATGAATAAAGCATTAGCGATGGTGCGGCAATTAACTGTATTTACGCCATTTGGAAATTGCTTAACATTAGCAAATACGAAAATAGGTTCAAATTAAGTTCTTGTGATTAGAACGTACCTCGTTTTCAGAACTAATTTGTATAGACATACGTTAAAATATAGAGGATAGTGGATGGATAACTTATTTTCCTTAATGTGACAAACTGTGGAAACTGTATCATTCTTTTTCCCAAGGAATTTCAAGAGGTCTGTAATTTTATTCTGATATACACTCAGAGGGGTTTAATTCTACAGTTTAATTAAAGCGCATCTGCTGATCAGTCCATTTAATTTTTGTTAAAAATTACCCTTTTATCATCTCTGTAAGAAAGCAACAATTAACTCTCATGTTAATGTCTCTGCTAGAATATATTAACAAAAGTTTTGAAGTAAATGAACATTTCATGAAAAAATCACAAACGAAATTCGAGACTTCTTTTGCCTCATGCCCTCTAAATTGGACGCAGTATGACGAGGTACAGAGACTGATTACTCAAGTTTTTTAGTAAACATATAATATAACCGAATATGAGAGAAGTAGAATGCTTTGCTTAAGCCTAACAAATTGACGTTTACTTTCGCCAGGACGACTCAATCAATGAGCACTCAAAAGAAACGCAGCGCCCTCACGCCAGATGGGCGGCGAGGACAATCGCACATTCATCGTCAATTACTCAATGAATTATCCTTTTTACACCCTTAATCGTCCTCATCATTGACGCCTGGGCCTCTTTTAGCCCTCACTTGCATTTTATTTTCTTGTCTCCGCGAGGAGATGGGTGCTGACTAGGCGACAGATGGTTTTATGGTTTGGTCTGGGAACGAGGCTGTAGGTTTGGCAATAAACTATATAAGGCTAACGCTGGTGAAGAGCCCACGGACATACAAGTGAATTGGAAGTACAGTATTAAATAGATGTAATTTGTTAGTACGGAGGTCAATATTTGCAGGACCTCATGTTGTCCATCTCAACACTCGTGAACATATATAGAAGCTCTAAAAAATTCACTCAGCAAGTACAATTCTTCTTGTCTAAATGACTTTAAACGTTGTACATAATGATTGTTTCCCAGAAATTGATTTTATCACCAATAATTTCACGCACTTCTCTAAATGTTCGACGCCTGGTAGATTGAATGTACCTTATTTGACTGTATAAAAGGAGAACTTGATTGCGAGAAAGTAGCATGGTTTTTATTTTAGCAGGCAAAGGATTGCCGATATTTACCGTTTTATCGCATGTAAGGTAGGGGGGCGTGTAGGCGTTGCAGTAAGGGTAGTGGTAGTAACCAACCCGCGCTCCGGGGAAACTGGCGGCCGCCTCATCCAGCAATAACTGCTTAGAAAATAATGGAGGGGAAATGAATGAAAAAGGGCCAACCGAACATGTCAAAACACCAAAAATGCGTAAGATTTTCTGGACGGGCGTTTTCACAATAACATGTTACCGTAGTAATAACATGTTTTACACTTTGCTATCTCCAACGTAATTTTACGATTCATCGCGGTGCAAATGCAATTTCCATTGCATTTCTTAGCGATAATTTTCAGAAAGTTCAATTTCATGTTATAAACGCTCTATTTAACATTTTCTCTTCTGGGATAACCATCAGGGTGCATGTCTCAGACCTGGAAGAATGGCTTGGCAGTTTCGTCAAAGCTTCTCGCAGCCTCGCGCTCAATAACTTGCTCGTCGGTCCAGTTAGGATGAGTTTCTCGCACCCACTGGAGCGACTGTTTGCGGTATACTTTAGGAAGGAATTCATTGTATCTCGGAAAGTAGTCTTCAAAGTCTAGTACCAGTAAACCTGCCGTAGAAATAATGGTGTATATAAGATTATGAAATGTATAAAGTATATGATTCACGATCGCCGTCGCTCTTTAAACGCCCACACTAGGAACGGGTTTGTTGCACAACTATTTTTCTGGTTACTGGTATCCGAATAATTTCTATAAGCGTCTAATGCTCATTATAATATGAAATACACAGACATAATATAGGCTAAAGCGTGCCCTTTTTGCATAGCTTCATAGTATAAAAAAGTTATTCCAATGTAGAGATACCAGAGAAGTTCGACTGCACGAAGTTTGAGAGCTGCTGCTTGAAGGAGAGACTATGTAGGCTGATGTTCCCCCTTTGTGGTATGCCTCCGTTGATGGGTTGGCCATCAGGCGTGTAGTGGGGGAACGATCCTGGTTCATATATTATCACCATCTGCAAGAAATATTCGTGATTCCAATATAGACCCATTGTTTAAACGGGTTAAAGAATTCAACAGGATGACGGAAACTTTAGTGAATGAATAAAATGGCAAGCATATAGAATTTGGACCAAATGAATGATCCTGGACCATTATCACCATCTGCAGAAAATGATCGGGACGCCAGTATGGACTCTCATTATGTATACGAAATAAACAATTTAGTAGCACTTCAGTGAAGAATTAAGCTTATAAAATTTAAGAAAATGTTCAGAAAATATGGAAAGTATGAGAACGAATGGGCGGAAAGGATCAATAGCTCTGTAGTATTCCATAATTAGATTGTCCCGGTGGAGCCCCGGGAATTAAAAATTATTGAAATTTTCACAAACCTATCCCTATCCGTTTTGGTCACAATTTTTACAGAACCGAATGCTTGAGTTACCTACAGGTTCGTCATAATTTCTCTAATGAACCTAACCCTAACTTGGACTTCACCAAATAGGTGACGCAAAGCATTTACTACGTTTTGACTAAATCCTTCAGCAATCATCTTGTCAATGAATACCGCAATCCTGTTTTGGCAGACGCAAATTCTTAAATTTTAACTCACTTTATCTCCTCTGAAGACATTGCCGCGGTTGTGCACTATATCGAACTTGTCCAGGTCGAAATTAACACCTAATTTAGTGCAGGTTTCCAGGGGCACGTTCCAATAGGCTGTAAATGGCTCACTGACAAATCCTGATATACGAGTCAGTATAGCGAGGTACGTTATGGGAAATAATATACCGTACATTTTTCTTATGGCGCTTCGTTGTATTTAATTAGAATGAGAAATTTCTGTGCAGGTTCTGTGAAAGGTTGGTTATTTAGATATTATTAGATATTATATTATTAGATATTATTATTGATAGATATATTATTATTATCGTTATTGGAAAGCATTAATATTTCTTATTAATCCAGAGGGAACACTTTATAGAAGCAACGTGCCTGATAGTTCTCAGGCAGTGGTCTATGCGCAATAGAATACAGATGAGCTTGCGTAAAACGACAATTAGTGCAGGGATTGCACGCACAATCGAGAAGTAAAGAGCAAGCATGCACAAGTCAATCAAGAGCTTGTGTACTTAGAGGAATAACCCGCCAAACGATTTCGTGCTAACTAATCAGAACGCTACTGTCGCTACATAATTAACAAAATTGCGAATAAAATCGACACTCCAACTTAGGACACATTTGGACCTCTGGTAATCGAGACCTGCGATTGCACGAGCGCTCTCACGCACTACAGGGCAATCGAGCCCGCCATGCCTGTGGGGCCGATAAGTCAAGTGCCGCCGTTATCGCCACCTCGAGAGCCGCGCATCCTTTGCTTACTACGCCAATTTTATGCTCGGGTTGTGCAGGCCGGAAGTTTGATGTTTTATCTTCATTGTGAAGCTTTATAAATTTCAGCGACCGACTTTTGCCCACAGTGAACAGACAATAATTGAACCCTCGTCAGACTTAGTTTTGTAAAGTTACCATAGTACTTTGTCCTTATGGTTCTTTGTACCTAAAGTAAATTTGTACCTAAGCTGTCCGATAAGGGTTAAATGACGGTAGCTCGTGGGCGTAAAGCCTGTGCAAACTGATGCAATAGATATAGACTACAGTTAATGCATCTCATGAGCAACGTTAGCCTACAAGGTTGAACTTTTAATCAGTTTGTACCTGCATAAGCCAAGTTCAACTAATGTTATAACACTCTTGCAAGAGGTTCGAGGTAAATCTTCTTAAATCAGATCACCAGGAACTTTTTGAGGTTGTCTGAATAAATTACAACTCAAGTCACCTTCACAGTTTAATCAACAAGAAACAAATGCCAGACGTAATTTCAGCGTTACTCGAGAGGTCAGATTGATCTAAACTTCTAAAGGTTGTATCAAAAATTTCCAAAACCCAGCTTCAATAATTGAGCTAATAATTGATATCATGGACCGTAGGGATCTAGTTGAAGTTTATAAGCATACGTACTTTGATGTGAGGCCTGCAAGAGATAATTAAGGATATTTGTGTGTTTACGCTGGGCCACGAGATGTCACTCTAGCTTGCACTGTACGGCACTGTACTAAAGTAAATATTTGCTGGGGCCAGCATCTGGCCTGAATTTCCCGTCACAAAGACCGGCAAAAACGTCCAATAATACAAACAAAACCAAACACCACACGACGACAGCTGCGAACTGTCTGCTTCATCAGTATTGGTCTGCTGTGCTCAGTTTTTTTACTGCTCTGGATTTTTCACGCCTGGGAGTGGAGAAACAGGAAGCTATAAATTATTATTAGACCGTTATTTCTTACGTTGACAATACAATCATAGGCACAGCGCATCGTAAATTTAACTTACACGAGTTGATCACACTCTACATAAACATATTCAACAAATAAAGTTACGCATTTAATTCTCATTGACATGAATTTTGTTTCTACACTATATATAAATATCACTCTAAAATTTCCAGCTTGTGACAATATTGCTCCGGTTACTTATGTCAGACGGTAGAGGGTTAATACCTCGTAGTCCCTTACAACCTTATTCGATTGTGCCAAAAAATAAAAAATAGCGAAGCTGCCTTTAATAACTTGATGGACATTCAAGTTTACATACATAAATTTGAACTTAATGCCTACATTTGCACATGCCGTATTTGTACTGCTATGCTCCCACTATAGATAAAACTTGAACTGAAATTTATCGACAAGCGATAATTAGTCTTAATTTCAGGATAGACTGAAAACTTTGAGAGAAAATGCCTTGGCTGTATTTTAGAATTCGAATTTCGACATTATCATAAGAATACACTATGATATGTCTATTTCGAGTGAATTGCGTCTACGGAGATTGTCGGCTAACGTCGGGCTCAATCAACTGGTTGAACCAACAAATTCCCTTTCAATACATAGAGAAACAGAATCGCGAACCATCGTTGCGTGCTGCAGGGCCATCATAACGTCATTTTTGCGCACAACAATTTTTGGACGCCTGTCTTCTGCCATTGTTTCGTTTATAAAATGAATTTGCGAGCTATGATAAATGCGGGCGACGAAGAATAAATTCAGTATTACTTTCTTATTGTCCGTGTAGTGCATTTTGCATTGTTGAACTTTATTTGAATTTTTTTAAGTATTACACATGATATTAAATTATTTACAGGCAGCTACAAAAAAGATTGAAGTTATTTTTTTCCGCACGAACGAGGAAAATTCATTTTAAAATTTGACAAATTCCTGGTTTTCTCCTAGCATAAATTCATGGATTTGAATTCATTATTATTCACATAGTAGAAAAATTTTGCCATGGCATCGGCTATCGTCACCATGATAAGATTGGTTAACTATTCAAACACATAATTTTTTGTTTGGAAAAAATGGTCAAACACTTGATGATTTCTTAGTATCAAAGTCGTTGAGGTCCACGCATGCTCCCTGAAGGCTGCGCTACTCGAACGCAAGAGGAAGTTCGCAATCTAAGCCGACCATTTAATGAACATTTGACTGTTGCGTCTGTTGCTGAAGCTGTGTTCTAGAGAGGCGCAATCCACGGGCACCATCAGGTCATCCATCAGAGCCGTCAGAGGCTCGAGTGCTCGGCCTGCCTCACTGAGGGCCCATTATGCGTAGCGTCAATGGACCGTGTTCGGGGGCTTGTTCCCCTGACCATTACGCTGCGCTTGGTTTATGCTCCTGAGTCTTTAAGTGCTTTGGCAAAGTCCAGTCACTGGGGCTCAGAACTGCCGTCCCAATAGCTTAGATCTGTGATAGGGAAACAAGCTTATTGAACCCAGAACTATATTACGAATTCACTCTCCTCAGACTATAGAATAGAATATAATAGAATAGAAGTGTCGGCATTGAAGAAATAGGCCCATGGCCTGTTGCCGATTCTTGAATTTTTCGTGACTTGATTCACAAGGGATCCGGCCTTTCGAACCAAATCTTTCCGTAATTGACGATTGATTGAGATAGCTGGTTTTGTCAAGGAAACCGCGTTTTTTGATCCTTAAACTGTGCTGTAAATACCCGTTTCCTTGGGACCAGAACTGTGTTGCAGATGCCCAGCTCAATGTTCCGTGAACTGTATCAGGGATATCTAGTCTCCACAGCCCAGAACTGTGTCAGGGATTTGCAGGCTTCTGAACTCGAACTGTGTGAAGGATGCTCAGTCCTCTCAAACGCTCAGCTGCGCGCTATCTAAAGTGATAAATGACAGTGATGCCCATTTGGGTCCCCGATGATCTTGTTAAGGCTTGTGAGACCTCACTAAGAGGCCTTACTTCAATTTCCGTCTGAATTAATCTAAGATTTACAATTAAAAACATTTTTTTCTTCTCCAATGCGTGGCATAAATGCACATTAACATGTCGTCAGTGCAGAAATTAACGTATTTGTTTATACATGTGTCACGACAGTGAGTTTTCTTCATCGCAGATGCTCACGTGCTTAGCGTTAGTAGATTGATAAAGCAAGCGCATTGCGGGTATACAGTCCTTTTCGCTATACTAGTCGCTGCCAAAAGGGTTTTCTATACGTTTCTAATGATGTTCTGTTTTCAGTCTCAGTGAGCAATGACTATTTATGTCGGAATTGTATATTGGCCATGATAATTGTCATCGAGTTCTGGAACCGATATCCTTTTCCTTCATGGTTATATATTAAATAATATTTGCCATTAATCTTTATTGAACAATTCCCTTTATTGTCAATGATATACTGTAACTCACTTATCCTTATCATGTGGGTTTCTTTTCAACGTTTCACGCTATCACTTTGCTACTCATAGTGTTTTACCAATGAGAAACTCAGCCCCTTTATTTGCTGCAACCCTAGCGCAGCATGCTGATGTGTTTTATTACTGAAAAACTCAGCCCCTTTATTTGCTGCAACCCTAGCGCAGCATGCTGATGTGTTTTATTACTGAAAAACTCTGCCCCTTTATTTACTGCAACCTCAGCGCAGCATGCTGATGGCTGCCGTATAGCGTTTTACTACTGAGAAACTCAGCCACTTTATTTACTGAAACTTCAGCGCAGAATGCTGATGGCTGCTATAGTGTTTTATTGCTGAGAAACTCAGCCTGTTTATTTATTGCAACCCCAGGCTGACGAGCGTCAGCGCAACATGCTGACGAAGATCAGCGAGGGGCTGGATCGCTTGCTGCTGGCAGCTGTTGAACCATCCCTTGGCCGCAACCCCGGCGTGCTGCCGGACCTACCGAGGGACGTGGCGCTCCCCAGCACCGGTGAGGTCGAGCGTGACGTCAAGACCATCATCAGGAAGATGGACGAGCTCGAGGGTAGTCTGGTCACCCACTTCAGGGGCGTGTCATCAGAGGTAAATTCTTAGTTTCTTTTCTCCGATTCTGAGTGAGCCGACCTCGGGTTCTGTAATTATGACTTAATTAAGTAAAGTCTGTGTTGAAAGTCTTTGTTTTTCGAAGCAAAACTTACCAAAGTCTTGGTATTAGTCTTGGTTATTCAAACAAAAACTATTAAACCCTTGGTTAGAGAACCGTTACCAATTAATGATACTAAGTAACGATCAGGACGTGGAGAACTTATACAAGTTGACGGGAAAGATCGGGGGCAGTTAGTTATAGCACTGCAGGGGCGCCCCGCCCTTCTTTCAGAATTAATCTATCCTGTATCACGTAACGAACAAATGAAACTCATTTGAAATTTGGCTAGTTCACGCTTTTATAACACAAAAATATGTGCACAAAATTCAATTATGTCTTATTCAAATTTTCACATCTTTTTACATTAGCACTACCGTCCTTTTCACCTTGATGGACGTTCTATTCTTGCGTTTAGCTTTCATGTTTAAAAAATGGCTCATCGAGACTCCAAGTATCTCACAATGATTTTATTTTTCGGTCTACCAATTTGGGACATTATTCGGTTTTCGCTCAATTCTGAGAAGTTGCAGCGCAGTTTTTTTAGTTTATAGCCGTGGCCCCTGGTGTTGGTTCTTTTTTCAAATTCTAGGAATCCTTCGGGGACCTTGTATAGACCTTGAGTATACTTGTATACTTCAATGAGGTCCCCACGCAGACGTCGATAACTGAGGCTTGGTAGCTTCATAATCTTCAATCTTTCTTCATAGGACTTACCCTTCAAGCCTGGAATTATCCTTGTTGCACGTCTTTGAACATCCTCTTAATGTTCTCTTAATGTTGACGCCCTTAATCTCGTGAATTGTTTTGCTCAGTCGGTTTTATTTATTCGCCTTTGTTCTGATTAATACTAAAGTCGATACGCTGATAGATTACAAGTCTAATAACTGCAATATTCGCCAGGTTCGCACGCTGAACAGCGCCGTCAACCAGCAGTCAGAGCGACTAGTGGGACGTCAAGAAGGCATCCTCAGCGCCGTGCAGTCCTGCCAGCAACGGGAGAACGAAGTGTCCAGGGTGAGACGATGAACTTGACATGAACTCGATTTGTGGTATAGTCAGAAAAATAAGGTAGTTATCTTACGAGTTACGAGGAATATATGTTATCTCCAGTTCTGTGCAGTCCTGCCAGCAACAAGAAAACAACGTGTTCAGGGTGAGGAGATGAAGTTGGGTAGAAATTATTTTTGATATTAGCACAACAATAAGGTATTTATTTATCGAGGAATGCATCTTATGTCTAGCACCGTGCAGTCCTGCCAGCTACATGAAAACAAAGTGTACAGGTGAAGCGATAAACTTGACATGAACCTTGCTCGTGGTATAATCAAAACAATAAAGTATTTATTTGGCGAGGAGAGTGTTTGTTGGAAAGTTTTGTATGATCGAATCCTTTAACAATAAACAGAAAAACGTCTCTTAACCCGAAAGTTCGAAAAATCGTTTAATCAACGCAGGAGATTTTTTGTTCACATTTTTTTGGAGGAATATTATTTTGGTGTTAGGAACTCTGAGTGCGATTTGTATTTGATTTGTCGGACTGAACCCAAGTGTTCAATAGGCATATTTCCCACAGAGTGAAGGATGTGAGAGCTGTCAGACGCTGGAGGCGGAGGTTGTTAGTCGGCTAGAACACCTCACTCGCCTCACGCGCAACCAAGACCTCGTGCTGCAAGACCTCAAAATGTCCACTACTTCCGTAAGTCGTAAATATTTGCATCTAGTAATCGGATAAACTGAACTGGTGAAGGTGGATTTTTTGCGGAGTTAAAATTCATAATGTTGACTTGTATGTGGACAGAGGGTTTTGAGTGTCGGAAAATCATGTTGTAAATTTTTGATCTAAGACTTACTCTTTGTTTGTACTCAAATGAACGGTAAAATGCGATGTTTCCAAATGGGACATAGATTAAATTTGTAGCATTGTTTCTACCACTTTATTGCGAGTGCAACGTAAATTTTGAAACTTGGTTGTTTATATTTTAAGTTCGCTTCGCATGACCACCAGCAGAATGTGCCAAGATCCAAAAAGTTCTGGTGATTTTAAGTGTCAAATGTTATTACAGGGTTTAGAACAGCAGCAGACTGGCCTGCTATCCGTCCTTCGCGAAATCCAGGAAGAAGAAGCAACTTCAAACGGGTCGCTTTCTACTGTTCTGGAAGGTCTCCGTTCTCTGGAAGAAGCGTCGCGTCAGAACTTGGGCACACTGCACTCCAATTTGAAGACTGTTGTAGACCAGAACAGCGCTCTTATTCAAGAGAAAATTGAGACCATGGCCGGGGCTGTCAAAGAGGGACATGCTAACATCATGGGAGCTCTGGATGACTCAGCCTCTATGACCGACAACTTGCAATCCACGGTGGCCGACAACTACGAGCTTTTGTCCAAGGAAATCAGCGGCCTGAATAAGGTAGAGCAGGTGATGATCAACACTGCAGACGCTGTCCTCGATACCAAGCGAAGTATCGAGTTTGGCATTCAGCAGATCATTCTCGAACTCAGTGAAATTGTCAGCAAGAGTGGCAGTAACATCAATTCAACGCTGTCTGATCAAATCAACAGCATTTCATTCAATATCCTCAAGAACCAAACCTCAGCTCTCACGAACATGACCCAAAGAATGGAGGACGAGATTTCGCAGGTATGGAGGCAAATCGGCATCATGTACCAACAAGTGGAACAATCGGTGCACATGTTAGATGATTTGAAAGATACAACAAGCCAGCACATGAACGTGTCTTTGAGTCGCGTAGGGAACATGGATGGAACTGTCGGCGAAATTAACAACAAAGTTGCGGACGTTGAAGGCAATCTGAACTACCTCCTTGGACGTCTTTCCCTCGTTGTGTCAGAATTCAACCACATGAAGGTGGGTGTTGGCAACGAGCTGGACAGACTCCGGGAAATGGCCACTCAAGAAATAACGATTCCAAATGGTAACCAAGACAGTCTGAAGTACAACATTAACAGGAAGCGACACATTCCTCAAGAATATGAATGAACATCACTGGAATCCTCAACTATGAACTGAAATATCAACTATTTCCTGACAAAATTTGTTCACCAAAAAGCTCTCGGAGATTTTATTTGTATGATTTAGATTATAAGTATCTTTCGATCTTTTTTATTTAAATATTGGTATGGCAATCAAGATAATTTAGTTGTCACATTTTTTTGCGGGAAAATTTTTAGATGACGGGAAACAACGATGTTAAAATTCATACATTGAAATTGAATGGGTGTGCAATTTTATTAGATTGGATCAAATATTCAACATC